CTTATCTAAGAAATATGTATTATTTCATGAAGCACAACAGTCACGCGTACACACACATTTCAATTCTATTGCATTGACTGCTGGCGAAATCATAGAGCCAGTGTGATTCCACAATCCTTTCAATGTCTGCATAGTATTTTCTTCGTTAGGGTTCCATCAGTCAATCAGTTATGTGCTATGCTTGATACCCGCTTAGGCGATCAGGATTCTTTCGATACATGACTGACGAAGCAGATTTTTTCCCGCAGTAGGTTGCCATTTCTTTCTGCGGTAGACCAGTTTCATCCAAGGATATATAACCGGGTCTCTTCTGCTATTTATCCATAGCTAGAGAAGAAGAGGATTCATACCTTTCCCAAGGTTATTAGCACGTAATGAATGTAATGAATTCGACTGGAATTCGAACTCGGCTCTCCGATTCCTCAATCCGAGCCGCTATCCATTACACCACCGAATCAGAATTCTATTTTTTCTAAAGTGCTTTTCAACCAAAGACAGAGAGCCCAGTTTTCCCTATTATTTAATCCATATATTATGGGATGGATTCCGATCTCTCTCAAGAGTATTTGTGTGAAATTGAATGTAATGATATTCGACTGTAATGCGAACTTTCTCCGCCGATATTCCTTCCGAGCTGCTTAACGTGGATTCAGCGCATGGCGCCAAACACCCGTGCAGAAATATCACAACTGTAAGCTGTACACAACCATTTTATCAGAACAATGTTATAAAATGTCTTTGAGTGAATGAGGCCATCCTCGTGGACTGGCACTTCAGGATCACAGAGAACTGTACAAGATCACAGAAGCCACATAACTTACCGCAACAACAACAACTAGGATATCACATGTAACTCAAAATAATGGCATAATCAAGTTACTGACATTCCACACTACTTCAGATAAAAGGTTTGGAAGGAAATCCTCATAATTACTGGATAGAGCAATAACAGTTAATGGTTGTGAGAAACCTATCTTCCTGAAAAAAAAAAACAACTTTTTAATGGAAAGATGTCATAAAATTCAATCATGGGTAGTACTGGCTGGTTAGTCAATGGATGTCAAACATTGCCAAATGGTTAATATCATCATTATCACATACATACACTACCATGCATCCATCCAGCAACACACATATATATGAGATATTTATATTATTATTAAATTGCTATATCTATATTTACAGAGAAAAAATGCTCAAAATCTGGGATATAGCGTATACAATTATAAACAGTGTGGCCTTGCATATGAATTTTACATCGTATTTATTCACGCCTGAAGCAATCATCGCACTGCATGGTTTTAGCAATGGAAATTCACAAAAAAAATGAAGTTTGAAAAAAAAAACCTTAATATTTGATCATGTCATAATTACGTACATTGAAATTAGAGAAAGCGTGAAACATAGATGTTCTTTTACTACTCGTTTGTTAATGGATTTCATAATTTTAAAACGGGTCAAAAGTGCTGACTGAGCTATTTATAATTATCAGTATCTTTCTTAGGTATTGACTAAGTTTGGTCTAGTATGGCACACACTGATCATAGTTGAAGGCGTCGAACAGGCAGAATTATTGATTGTTATTTGACTTTTATATCCACACATGATAATGATGCCTATCACCTCGTTGTCGAGTATGACTAATACAAAATTTCATTGTAAGACATAGTTCTGATTTTAAAGAATCTATCTCGTTAAAGCGTTCACATCTTTAAAAGCTTTAGGACAAAGTTGGTAGACATGGAAAGCCTACATTTTGTTGTTATTAGTTCTATTTTTGTGACTGTTTGCATATCTTTTCAGGTGGCTTGTAAACTTTTCAATAAAAAGGATATGAATTTTCAGTATTTAATAATATTTCGTAGCTGGTCTGTGGACAGGTACGATGACTTCCCATATGACTTAATTTTCCTGTTTATTTAAGCAAAGCCTACCAGAAGCGTCACAAGTGAAGTCACGTTTGCTACCTGTAAACAACTTTGCGAAAATTTCTTTTCAGCGTTTCTTTTGCATTTTGTGAAATCACGAAGGCAACCTTTCCATCCTGAACATTTTTCCACTAAGCAGCATTTGTATGAAAACTCCCAGGCATATGCACTGATATTTGGAAGGCTCAGGGATTTTTTTCAGGTCATCCTTATAACGCTTATTTGAGGTTTGAGTTGGTCAGTGTCCCTTAGCAGGTTCTCCATTCAAAAGCTACCTATCGTACAACATGAGCAGTCCAACAAACCTATATTTAAGAATTGTTTCTTCAGTGCTGTCGCATTAACTTCCTTCAAGCACTTTTAAATCGCACACACACAGGCACACTGACATACACACAGACGTACACATACACCACGCACACACAAACCACGCACACACACGCAAACACACACACATATTGTTTAAAATCTGATATATTTGGTAGATAAGAGAGGAAGACTTCTCAGTAACGAAGATATGGCGGCTATTGATATAGACAAAGAGGGCGTAGGAATCGACACTGCATGGTTACTGGCAGTTTCACGATTGAAGTGATCTTCCGAATAAAATCAGAAGACATTTTGGTCTCTTTTGTATTGTATGTGGGGGGAGAGATAGATAGATAGATAGATAGATAGATAGATAGATAGATAGATAGATAGATAGATATTGACAGACTGTGATAGACCTAAATACATAAATAGACTGAAATAAACGGATAGTGTTGTGACAAAGTAAATGGTTAATGAAATAACAAAACAAGTGTTACAGATATATCATATATTAAACAGTAAATACAACAGAAGAGTATTACACGACGAGTGAGTGTGTGTCGGTTGACCAAGCGTTCAATCTATTCGACTGTTATAATTAAAGCCCCCCCCTACCACGAGGGATGTATGTGGCACAAGGCCGAGTTTACCGTGAGTTCTCCGGGCCCACAGACTCGGCCGAAAATATTCCCTTAGAAGCCGCATAAACGAGTTCAGGGTCTGTCTACCTCCCCGGCCGAAACTTTGCCCCTCGGCAAACTTGTCCGGGTTCCTCTCGGCCTAAAGGCAGAGAGTTCGACAGTATTGAACAATCTATGCGAGTGTTATATTTAACAGTCACCCCACAAGGAATGTATGTGGCACAAAGCCTGGTTTAACGTGGGTTTTTCCGAGCCCGTAGACTCGGCCAAAAATATTCCCTTTGAACACGTCTAGACGGGTTCAGGGACTGTCTATCTCCCCGGATGAAACTTTGCTCTGCGACAAAGCTTCGTCCGAGTTCGTCTCTGCCGAGGCAAAGTGTTTGACAGTTGAACAATCTTTGCGACTGTCCCCGCAAGACCTTCTCTCCTACTAAACTTATAGTAAGCGGAAGAGTCCAACATAGACTCTTTACAGGGAGGACACCACAATAGATAGACAGACATATATACCCAGGGATAGATAATGAGGTAAGAAGAGAGATAATTGTAGCATTTTTTCACATATTGACTCGTGTAGGTCTTTTGTTTGGTGCGAAAAATAACTGCCTATTTTCTGTAACTTCATTAAGTTGTCTTCTGCCCCATGCAGAAGCCAAGATTTTAGACTGAGAATTTTAAAGCATAATGTTATATTAGTAGTGGATAGCAGGCTTTTTATGCATCTAGCACATGTAACAGTAGAGTATATTATCTCACCTTCTCGTATTATCTAATCTTCTCGTGTGCGTAAGCGTGTTCTCCTGCCAGCACTACCATAGTGCTCCATATTTCTTCTATGTTTAGGGAATGCTCACTTGTTTCGCCGCAGTTTTGAATTTAGCGTAGTTCTCCTTGATTGGCAGTTTTCCAAGAGTATCGAACCCGGTTAAAATGTTATATAGTCTATAGTTAAGGTAGGATCCTCTACGGCATTTCAAAAAAATAGAGCATAGTCTGATGAAAAAGACGCCAAAATTTATGAAAACAAAATTTTATCGTCAAAATGCTTATGTTTTTATGAAGAGGATAGACCAAATTTTTTTTTAATTATTTTTCAAAATTTTTCCATCTTTTTAGAATATTCTAAATTTTGATTTAAAAAACCTTGTTTCTCTTTTTTGCAATATGGAGTAGTAAATAACATAGATAATTTTTAGCGCGTTTTTTTTGTATTATACCTATTAATTTGGAAAATCTTGCAAAAATAAAAATAATTGTCAGATGTTAATGAAACTTTCAGAAAATATTCACAGATGATCGAAATTATTATGAATATGTTTTTTTTTATTAAAGTCATGGCAGAAATTTTTTTTTTATATTTATTAACACCCCCATATCTAATTTTATGAAAAACTCTAAAAAATCCATACCATCGGTTTTTAGTGATTACAATATTTAAAGCACAAGGCTTTGAAGAATGTAAATCATGTTTTTTTTTTAATTGACCCAGTACCTGAAAATCAGCTCTGAATTGTAACATACAAGACTCAATAAAAACAAATATACTATTTAATCTCAAACGCTTTTATTTGTTTTTATTTGTTCGTATGAATATGGACAATATTTTCTGAAAGCAAAAAATTTTTCAATGAAAATTGAATTTTTAATACAATTATTTCTCATTTCTTTAATTTTAAATCGAAATTTTAAAACTTTTTCATTAAATTTTTTAATAACTTAAAAAAATAATTAACAGCACCATCCATCTTTGTACTTCTCTTTCTTAGCTCGTCATTGTCTAGGGATTTGAAAATTGTATAATTTGGACCAATCAGATGATACCCAGTAATTAAGAAATGTAATTATGTTTTGATAAAAAGTGCTTAAAATGTTTGTCATTAAAAAGTACGGAAGGTCACAAGCTATAAAACGTCACGTGGCTTGAGTGTAAGCGTAGATTTCATTATTTATAGTATTTATTATGTCTATAGATAGTATCAACAAAGTTATGTTTTAAGTTCCAGTAATAATAAAATAACAAAATAAAGGAAATTGGAATGTTAATTTTTTTTTTTTTTTTTTTTTATCTACTAATTACGGGGTAGTACATTAGCTGATTCACGTAAAAAAAAAACGTATGACCATCCGTATGATAACGCGAATCTCACGTTAGCTGTCGATATGTGATGACAGGCATCACTCAGCACTTGAAAATTGACAACGCAGTTCAGATCGCCTACTTTTTATTTCGAACAATTTTGTTATTCGAAAAAGTAAGTAAAAGCTTCTTTCAAAATATTTTAAATAATCTTTAAATTTGCTAATTTTAGTCAAATAAATTTTGAAAAACGTATAATTGATTTTTGGAATAATTATAAACGAGGATTTTAACTTGTTTACAAAATTAGAAAAAAAACGGCTGATAGACACTTTTTTTAAGTAATTTTGATGACAGAAATAAACAACATTTTTAAATAAAATTTCGGACCTGATAAGAATGAGTAAAAATTTTTTTAAAATAATCAAAAAATACTTTGGTGTTTCTTCTTAAGAATGATATATATATTTAAGCCGATAAAAAATTATTACATCAAATTTAAGGCCGTTTTTTTCATGTTATATTATTTTTTTAGCAATTTCGTGGAAGTACATAAGTTAAGGGAAGAAGATTTTCAGTCACACCTTTCCCAAGGACATTAGTGAAGAGAATTGGCTGGGATTTTACCGACTTAAAAAGCGGATAATCTTATAATGCTTAATACTCGCACAATATAGTTTTCCTATATGACATTATTCAGTATATATCCCTATATTGTTATACTTAATTTTTTTTTTATTTCACTGTCTCTTCATTATATAAGAGATCATGACTCACTGCAGATGTATTTTCATTGTTATCAGTGAAATGCAGTAACTTCTTGAGACATAGATTTGAATGGTTTCTCCTTGCGTTCTCTATGATTTTGAATTCGAAGTTGTCCTCTTTAGATTAGCGGTCAACCAAGGTTAAAGAACCCAGTCAAGCTCAGTGCTATTTAACCCGTAACTGAGAAGGAGAAGATTCATGCTTTTTTTCGAAAGGCATTAGTGCGAAATGATCAGAACAGATGAAAGCGGGACTCGGATCGATGGCTTCATTTTCTACATCGTTAACCTTTGCGCTACACACATATCCAATACCCGTTATTAGGTAAGTCAGATTTCTTGGCACTGCAGTTTGTGTTAGCTATGCTATTAATCAGCTCACATTGTTCTTTGTCTCTCTTCATATCTATCAATCTATCTATCTATCTATCTATCTAACGATCTCTGGGTATATATGTCTATCTATTCATTTATTTTAGTCTATTTATGTATTTCTATCACAGTCTGTTAATATCTATCTATCTATCTATCTATCTATCTATCTATCTATCTATCTATATGTATGTATGTATGTATGTATGTATGTATGTTTATCCATCTATCTATATGCCTATTTATTCATGTTTGTCTATCTATTTATATATGTAAGATGTGTATTCTGGGTATGTGTGACTGTTTAATATACACTTATTAATTTGTTTTCTTACAACAAAAATAAATATGCAGAAGCTCCATGTTGTTTCTTTTTTACCACTTCAGCATTATTGTTACGAATAGAAAGAAATATAACTTAATATTTAATTACTGCGCAACATGAACAACCCGTAAGTTCCCTGAATGCCATTGTTATCCCTCTGTATTTGTATGTATCATTTTATCTCATATAACCCGTCCCTGGTTTTGCCGAGTTCGCGTCAAGAGGAGGCCTATGTAAGACGACAAAACTACATCGAACAGTAAGGCCTCTAATCAAGTTTTGAGGAGCGTGGATCCACTTCTTAATTACAAGTGTTCCCAGGTCCACTCTGGCCCGGGATGGTAGCACCTGTTAGGGCCCCAGCTATGGGCAAATAGTTGAACCCCACCACCGCAAAAAACTGGGGTCGAAACATTTTGAAAGTGTAAAAATAGCTCTTAATACTAGTAATACATTTTTGTAAAAGGTTATTACCAGCAATGAATTTTTGAAGAAAAAGAAATTTTACTAGCAATATATTTTTGAAAAAAAAATATTGCCAGCAATAAAATTCTTGTCAGTATTAAATAACCCATAGAGGTTGATATGCCGTAAAACCAAACCAACTAAACAAACGTCAAAAGGAATCACCAACTTAGAAGCCAAGACATTCGCCCTGTCCCTATATCGTCTGTGAATTCATTATAACATGCCTCTAACACACTTACAACTCATGTCACTCGTCCCGTCTCTGCTACTGATGCCAAATCTGCAAGTGCTACCATTGTTAAACTAATATCCATTCAGTTTTCTTTTCGTAACATTAATATACCGGAAATCAGCCCAGCAGTATCACCATATATATTCGGTGCAGTAATGGTTAGATAAGATCGATAGATGCCTTCAAGATTTGATATGAATCACGAGTAACTCACATTTCCGTCCGTCATCGTAAACTGGATTTAGCAGGCCGATTGAATCATACGTCTATGTGAACGGAATCTTGATCGGTAAGTCAGGCGTACTGTTGGTGTTGATTATATATATATATATATCTGACCAGGCTCCTTCATCAATATATATATATATATATATATATATATATATATATATATGTGTGTGTGTTTGTATATATGAATTGAAAAATATGGATTAAATCTGATTGAATGAAAAAATAAGTAATACATAGGAAAAATGTTTATAATTTAACATGCATCTGATGACGCTAAAATAAAAGCAAAACGTCTTAAATTTAAAAACGTTTTTTATTTGTTCCTTATTTTGTTATGTGTGTGTATCTGTGCGTGTGTTACCGTAAAATTTGGTTGTGAAATATACTACACGATGAACGTACAATAATGCTTTGCATTTATCTTGAATCATTAACGCCTACAATACTAACCTTAGATTTTACTCTAACTCCCTACTGTTGCCTTCTAAGTCTTCTTAGTTGTCTATTTCTTTTTACAACCACAAATTACCACTGAATAATCAGTTTTCATGTACTTCTTCGGCCAACTAAGACTTTTATAAAATGTAGTACTTTGTTTTCTTTCTTGTCTATTCTTAATATTCTGTATGTTTTTCTCCATTCGAATGTGCAACTTCTTCAAATATTCGCTTCGGTCCAGTTTTCTTTCCATTTCTAACCACTTCTTTCCAACCATTTCTGTCATCCATAGATCTATATTCAGTTCTTCCTTTCGGATTCTCTCGCAACAAGGCAAAGTTTAATAAATAACTGACGTTAATAGCTGCGCCTAAATATCGGTCATTCATTCATTGATTCTGTTAAGATTTATGCTGTTTCAATTTTAACAAACACTCACATGAATTTATTTGTGTATATGTGTCGGCGTGTGCGTGCATATGTCGTTGGCCGATGAGTTAGCATTCTGACCATGAGCCTCGGGTTCGAATCACACCATGTTACCATTATCAATTTGCCAAGTAAGAGACATTGAATATATCAGCCTAGGACGATCACAGCCTGCGTACACGACCGTTGGAAAGTGCCTGAATGCCATAGCGAGAGTTGATCCAAATCTTGTGTGCAAAATTGGGTATCGCGGTTGTCATAGCACGAACTGAAAAGTCATCAGACTAACCATATTCAACTACTGATCGCCCCCGATAATCCTGAAGAATGGAATAAAAACTGGTTTGCTACTGACAGAAAAAGTGCTCAGAGATTGTAAAGTCTGGATCTGATGTGATATTGTGAAAAGGATTTATAGGTGAGGAAACGATGGGAAAATTTGTAGAAAACGTATCTATGAACAGAAAAGAGATCTAACGCAACAATTTATCAAATGCATTAGTCATACACACAAAATAAATTCAACGACAAATTTGATCTAAAGAATGCCACACTTATTAAAAGAGAAAGTAACTTAGACGGAAAATTCTCGAGGGTGGAATATCGAATCTTATCAAAATATAAATCTGTGCATCGATTTTTTTTCAAATACCTCCATTCCTGAAAGAATTATTATTTTCCCAGGACAACATACATTACTATAAAAAATGCTAAGATATTCAAAGAAAACGGTTAAATTCATATTATTATTAATTTATTTAAAACACAAAAATTAACCCCGAACTCAAATAATTTAAATATTAATTAATCTTTTACTCATTTTCGTTTATTAGTTATTATTATATTATGTCACTTAGTATCCTCAATAACTTAACGAGACTCTTCAGCTATCCTAATGAATATTTATGAGCGTTTCTTAAATTTAAAACATTTTGAAAAACTGATAATATTTTTGTTACATATATCATTCCAAAGAAACCTAATAAAAAAAGGAACAGAAATATAGAAGATAAAAAAAAGAATCGGCTATTGTATTTGGTCATTATGTGTGTATGCTGTGTTTGTGTGTGGTGGGGAGGTATGATCTCTTTAGTGCTGGTTTGTCTATTAAGTTTTTTCTTGTATTTGTAGGTAAGAATAATTGTCTATTTGGTATATTGGCATTATTTTAAATTTATCTTCATTACATTTGTAGATGTGTTGTGATGCAAAGAGTTTTCTGTTGTCTAGTAATTTGATACTGCTTTTGTGAAGGGAAACTCTGTGGTTTAGTACTTGGCTGATAACTATATATGTGTCTCAACGGCTGTTGTGATACGTCTAGTGTGGTAACCTGTAGTGGTAGTGCTTGTCGCTTCTCGCTTTCAGTTACCACCGCTGGCTAGCAGAAATGCGAAAAGGGGAGCCGAGTGCATAAGTCTTCCCTCCCAGTATATAGCCTTGCCATCAGAAAGCCCTATGTAGTGCCTCCCTGTGGCGACACATGGTAACCCTGCACCTTGAGGACTCGGGCTAAACTACAGGAGACGGGGGAGGAGTTGGCCCCCTTAACAAGCGGCATGCAGGCCCACCGGTATGTGGACATGCCCTGGTGCCCATGAACCAAACCCTAGCTATGGGTTAAATAGCTCCACTGCCTTGTGGAAATATTCGGGAGAAGGAAAGACCAATAAGTAAAACTTACACAAATCCAGAGTGGAGCCCCTAAGGCGGATGGATGGCACTTTGTGCTACCTTCCGGCAACTCCTGCAGCTGCGCTGGTACCAAACTGTATTGGTTTATCCTCTCCTTTGGGCTCTGCTAGCAAGGCCGAGAGGGGGAACTAGACGTACGGGCAGCCCTAGTTCTCCATAGATCCCGCCCAGGCTCGCATGACATCGGCACAATACGGGAAGTGACAGTTACCGGTCAAAAGCCCAACCCAATTGACGTAGGTTGCGGGTGCCTGGGGTCACCACCGTCGGTGGGAGAGATCATCACGTCTCAATGGACAGCTACCGCCCGCCTCAAGCTGGGCAGCCCTCAGCCAGTAAGTTGCTGTCCTGCCACAGCTTGCCTGCTCTACTGGTTGTGTAAGGCTTAGGGACTAATCCTCCTAACAAGCAAACTGTAAATCCCGCACCAAGCAAAAAAGAAAGAAACACAAAGACTCCAGCTCTTCGATTTGCTAGCTGGAACGTCCGGACCATGCGCCCTGGACTGGCAGATGACATCCAACAGATTGACGATGCTCGAAAGACCGCAGTCATAGACAGGGAACTCTCAAGAATGGACATTGACATCGCCTGACTGCAAGAAACTCGTCTGGCTGACAGCAGTTCCATCAGAGAGGCCAACTACACCTTCTTCTGGCAGGGCCTGTCTCAGGATGACCCAAAGCAACACGGCGTAGGCTTCGCTGTGAGGAACTCGCTGATACCAGCCATTGAACCACCAACTGGCGGATCTGAGGGAATCCTAGCACTGCGCCTCTCAACATCTACAGGTTTCGCCAACGTCCTCTGTACCTATGCGCCAACATCTGCGCTACCCCAGAGGTCAGGGACCAGTTCTATGAGGCATTGGATGAGACGATATCCAGGAACCCCAATACTGAAGGATTTTACCTATTGGGAGACTTCAATGCTAGAGTGGGAGCCGATTGTGACACTTTGCCCTCCTGTCTCGGTCGTCAAGGCATAGGCAAGATGAATGAGAATGGACAGCGGCTGCTAGAACTGTGCTGCCACCACGGACTGTACGTGACGAACACCTTCTTCAACTGCAAAGAACGCCACATAGTCTCTTGGAGACACTGGCACTAGCTCGATCTTGTCATCACCAGGCGTGCGGACCTAAGGAGCGTTCTTCCACAGCGCAGACTGCGACACGGACCACTGCCTAGTAGGCTGCAAAATGAGACTGACAGCCAAGAAAATACACCGCTCAAAAACCAAGGGCCTCCCTCGTATCAACACTTGTCGCTCCAATTACCCTGAGAGCTCTAGCCGCTGTCAAACCACCTTTAGCGCAAAGGTCGACACATCCTTCTTCAGTGCCACTGACATCGACAGAAGATGGCACCACCTCCGTGATGCCATATACACCTCAGCCCTTACTGCGTTCGGGAAGAAGGATCATCGAAATGCGGACTGGTACGAAGTTCACTGGGATGAGATACAGCCAGCCTCTCAAGCCAAGAGACAAGCACTTCTGGCCTACAAGGAAAACCCTTGCGTCAATACCCGCGATGCCCTCAGACCTGCTCGCAGCAAGACCCAACAGACTACATGCCGCTGTGCCAACGACTACTGGCTGAACCTGTGCAGCAGGATTCAGACGGCTGCCGACAGTGGGAACGCAAGAGGCATATACGCCGGCATCAAAATCGCCACCGGCCCCACTCCCATCAAGACGGCTACGCTGAAGTCCAGGGCAGGAGAGGTCATTACAGACCAGGGCAAGCAGTTAGAGGGCTGGGTGGAGCACTACCTGGAGTTTTATGCAACCCAGAATGTGGTGACGGATGCCGCCCTGGATGCCTTGCCCAGTCTCTTAGTCATGCAGGAGTTGGATGCCAGCGCTTTCTGCAGAAGAACTCGGAAAAGCCATAGTCTCTCATTCGGGAGGGCCCCTACGAGGTACGGGATCTCATCGGAGATCTGCTGCGGCATCTCCACGAGCTCTTGTGCTTGTGCTGGGAGAAGGGCCACGTCCACCTGGACATGCGAAATGCCAACATAGTCACCCTCTATAAGAATAAAGGTGACCGCAGCGACTGCAATAGCGGCATTTCCCTCCTCAGCGTAGTCGGAAAAGTCTTTGCCCGCGTTGCCTGCAGAGCCTCGCCTCCCGTGTGTACCCCGAGTCGCAGTGTGACTTCAGGGCGAGCCGATCTACAGTGGACATGATCTTCTCGCGTGGCCAGTTGCAGGAGAAGTGCCGTGAGCAACAGAAACCACTGTATATCGCCTTTATTGACCTGACGAAAGCCTTTGACTTGGTCAGCAGAAGCGGAATCTTCAGCCTCCTGGAGAGGAAGGTAGGATGTCCGCCAAGACTGCTCCACGAGGACATGCACAGCACAGTCTGCTACAACGGCGGAGCTTCCGACGCCTTACCTGTGAGCAGTGGCGTAAAGCAGGGCTGCGTCCTCGCGACGACACTCTTCGGCATCTCCAGCCTGTTCATGCTGCTCTGCCAAAGACATCTCAGATGGCTGGAGCACGTACGCCGCATGGGTGCCGGCCGCATCACAAGAGTCATCCTGTACGGAGAGCTCTGTTGGGGGTTCCGCTCAACTGGAAGACCTCAGCTCCGCTTTAAGGATGTCTGCAAACAAGACATGAAGCTGGCCGTCATCGACCCCAACACCTGGGAGGCCGCGGCTGACGATCGTCAGCTTTGGAGAGCCACAGTCAGTGACGGCGTCACGATTGCGGAAGCCGCGAGGGAAGATCAGCAGGCAGAAAAGAGAGCCAGGAGAAAAGCAAGGACAGCCTCCGCCTCCGTGTCGTCCACTTTCATCTGCGTCAAATACCTGAGAGACTGCCGCTCCAGAGTGGGACGACGCTGTCACCAGAGGCGATGTAACTCCATCGCCTAAAATTTAAAAAAAAAATAAATAAAAATAAGCGCTACTCCATCGTCTCCCGAGACGGACTGATGCCGAACCGAAGAACCAGACTTGTTGCATTTTTGGAGTTGCAGTTTAAATTTTTATTTATTATCAATCGAATTGGGAGGCGTTGCTGTTGGGCCAACGGGACGAGTACAGATTGGCAATGGGCGAGCAGCTGAGTGTTCAGCCATTGCTGTTGATGAATCCAACTTCACTGCCACCTTCGACCATCGGAGGCGATCCTGGACTGATTGGCGCCATTCATGTGGATGAACGAACGCAGACCAAATCATGTCCATCCAGAGGCGACCTGTGCAGCGCCAGAAAAACCGTCCATCGCCGTTAAAATTTGAGCAAAAAACCAAAACTGGGAAAAAAAATAAGCCGGAACTGGCAGAGACTGGGAATGGATATCACCCACGTCATTTCTTAACCTGACGGAGCCATCGGACTGATTGGCGAGACAAACCGTGATTCGCACCGACGGACCGATTATATCAGACTTTTTGTTGCGATTTTGTCCCAGCCAGGAATGGGATACAAAATGCATAAAACGAAAGGATCACAGCCGTCTTTTGGTACAATGTCACACCAAAAGACATCCTCCAGACTGCAGATTTAAACTTTGATATGTCTTCAGATATTATCATGTCGGAGATGGTCAAGGACCAATGAGTCAGTGCACCACCAAGTTCAACAGGAATCGAGTGACGAAAATGATCAGTCCGCAGTCATTTCTGGTGGATGGGCCAATTGGGTGAGTTTCAGTTCAGATGACACATCTCGGGGCAGAAAGTTTGCTGCTTGACGTCAATCCACCCGAAGAGGATGAAACAGAGCCTCCCTCCGACAGTCCACGGCGTGGCTGAGTTGGTATCATAAGATCAGGGATTTAACGAAAGACATGAACCTCGGAATTCAAAACAGCGCGAACTTGCCTGCAAAGTGATGACGAAAAGAAATGGAGCCACAAGATGAGGCGAATTTCCACATGCAAATTTTGGCCGTCCATTGAGAAACATTCGGCGGACTGCGTGTGTTAGAGTTGGACGAAGAAGAGGAAAAATAGGCGCGGCCGAGTTGGTGTCTATTTCACAACTTTTGAAGCGACCGAAGAAGAAAAATAGCTGGCCTGCCGGCGAGCGTCGCACTGCACATTTTGAGCACACCCTCATCATCATTAATTTTCTCCACAATTAGATTCTTTAGTATTGCTGTGTTAGATTTTATCTATTTAATACGACTGAATGAAAAATTAACAACTCAGTAAGAGATTTCATTGATAACTTTACACTGAAGTAGACAAATGACGCCATATTCTAGTTTTTTTTTAATTCAATAATATAATTGAATATCGTTTTTTTTTCAGGTAGAAGTCAAATAAGTCAAACTGAAACCACTCCCATTCCAGCTGTGCCGGGAGCATCTCTTGCAAAAGGGAGATAATCCAACCGATGTAAAAAAAAAAAAAAAACTAAATGCTTTTATTATGATGGCGATGCGATTCTTTAAACAACTCTTTCAAAGCGAATGATTTTTGTTTCTTCTTTCTCCTCTGCATTCACAGTGGAACTACTTCAGTGACTCGGCAGGAGATTGTTCAAAGAATGTGTCCGACTTTAAAAAAAAGAAAAAGGAAAAAAGAAGTGTCTGCTGCTCTTTACAATGTTACCGTTCACACGAAAGAAGAAAAAATGTATTAAACGAATTACTGAACATCTTAATTTCTTTTAGACCGGGTTGATTTTTTCCTTCATCTTTATTTTGGATATCACAGTCGGAGACTTACAAATAATTGTTTTTATCAGATTTTTTTTTGTTTTGGCAGAAAGACAAAATGACTGTCACTCATGATAATGTCATTCGTCATATGCAGTCATTTTTACATATTTTTACTCTAGTTGAAATGCATATACTTTCTGAAGGGTTCTTTTCTTAACGAAAAATTAACTTGAGACAAAAATAAATAAAACACTGAGAAAATGGACAATACTTTCCCCTCATTGTTTTCAGTTAATACTTAATGGAATATTTTTTGAGATATATTCAAATGTGTTAGATGAGCGCTATCCCAATGCGAACCTGACTAGCAACAAAATAACGTTCCGATCCGTACACCCGGAATAATCAATTTATGAATTTACTGTGTTCTATGATGCTCAGCTTCAGATGCACAGATGGATAATCAGAAAGACAATTTCTTTGTTAATTATATTTTTAATTCCCTATTAACTTAAATGTAAATATAATCAAGCTGTTAGAATTTATTTTAAAGATAATAACTGATTAAAATACTCATAAAAATATTATAGAAACAATCATGGATTAGGATTACCAAATTTATTTTGATGAAAAGGTGGTGAATTCAAAAGTACACAGACACACACACGCACACACACATATATATAATAGATTTATTTTAATCTGATATTTTTATGACTTCAAAACTCAGGCAGAGGATGCATTTTCATCATTGCGATTACATGGGTGCGCAGGCCGTGAGATATTAATACACACTATTTAAAACAAAATTAGATGCTCTAATTCAAATACAGGTGTCTACAAAAAATAAAGTTTACAGTAATATATATATATATATATATATATATATATATATATATATATATATAAATATAATATGATTTAAAAATTGATTTTTTTTTTTTACTACACAGTTCTAACCATCTTTCAAAAATGGAAACTAAAAGCCACGAATTTAATTTTGTAATTAAATTAAAGACATTAGTTCCATTTCATCCTCAAGCGAATTTTGGAGTAACTTTTAAAATTACTGGGTTTTAAAGACACAGCTAAAATCCCGTTTCCATGGTTACAGATAAATCTACTTAAATTGGACAAGGGTTGTCTGGGTTTAAATCTGTTAATTTATAATATTAATACTCTGTAAATTTACATTGAGCACTATTTTGTAAAAATAAAAATATCTATAGAACACCGGATTATATATTTTACTGTTCTTTTTTTTTTATTTAAATATATATATATATATATATATATATATATATATATATATATATATATATATATATATATAAGCACCCAGCCTACCTGCCCATTGATATAACAACATATAAGAAGTTTCCTATCATGGGTATATCGTCTATAGCAATAGTGTTAACATGGGAGTCAACACAAACGGTCTTATATCTGAAACCATTTCCCTCACTATTTCTCTAATTCTCTTCTTTCTCGCTCTCGTTACACACACACACACACACACACACACACACACACACACACACACACACACACACACATACAGACACGCACACACACACACAGACACGCATACATACATACAGACACGCACACACACACACACACATACAGACACGCGCACACACACACACACATACATACAGACACGCACACACACACACACCACACACATACAGACACACACACACACACACACACACACATACAGACACGCAGACACACAACACACACACACATACAGACACGCAGTCACACACACATATATATATTATAATAAAAAGAAAGAACAGTAAGATATATAAATTTATGATTTAAAATATGGTTTCTTCGCTACACAGGAATTACCATGTTTCAAAAACCGAAGCTAAACACTTCAAATTTACTTATATAATTAAATTAAAAGCATTAGTTCTGTTTCATCTTCAAGCCAATTTTGGAATAGATATTTATTCGCACGAGGGTACAAAATGTGGCAACAAGGCCAAAAGGGGGATTTGGGAAAAGAGCCGTCATCTTCTGTCTTAATTCTAAACTTAGCTAGTCACAAACACTGACCCAGACATAACAACATTAGTCCTATCCCCAAAATAACACATTCTCTCTAACCTTTTTCCTACATCCACCATAATACCTCAATGTCTATAGGAAATCCTAACTAGTCCCCATTTCAAAGTCTGGGGGGAGAGGGGAATAAAAACAACAATTAAAAAAAAACAACGATTATTTACAATATGAATTAATATTATTTACATGAAAACAAAACAAAATAAGGTTAGTAATAAAAAAATCCCTAAATGTGTCAGAAACATCAGTTAACCAAACGAAAAAAAATGCGGGATTGTAAAAAACAACAATTATCCATCCAAAAAACACTCACACAAACACGCAATCATTCGGTCACAACAACAAATACGAAAACACACACGCGAAACGAAAGGCATCCCGCAACAATCAGAGAACTGACATCACTGACCACCTAAAAGAGGGAGGAGATGAGTAATTAAACGAAAGAAAAATAGGGACAGAAATAAAAGGGGCCAATGAGCATACATACCCCAGCTAAGTTAACCGGAAACTAAAGATTCAAACTAAACCTAAACTAGCCTAATATCGGGACGGGTTGCCTCTGTTCAATCCAGGAAGAACAAAATCCTGTACCTAACCGACATCAAAGTGCCACTCCAGGTCAGCCCCTTTCACTCTACACAGTCGCGCAAGATTTACCAACCTTTTGCCGAATTCTGATGAAGAGAGTCGCCGCCTTTCCGTCCTAATCTTGACTTTAAGCAGATGCTTAAAGTACAAGATTTCTCCAAGGCCGCTGAGCGAAGTCTTTTTGGCCACCCAGAGGGACCCACGCATCGCCAGCCAGATGAGGGATGCATCATCGTTATTGAGACTTTCTAATCCGTACGCCCAAGGCCAGAATGTGCGAGCCTCCTGCTTCGTAAGACCGAGCTCGTCAATCAGATCATCATAAACGGACTCCCTGACTAAAACTTGATATAATGCCCTGCGAGACAACGCCTGGACGTTAGAGAGGCTATCCGACGCCCGTAAGAGGCGTTTCAGAGCAAGACAACATTCACGGTAGAAGGAGCATTCGGCTCGGGGTAAACGGTTGGCCTCCTCCTGGCACAAGTACACACTTCTCAGGGATGGGACATTTCTACGGGCGTCTTCCTTCCAGAAAGCGCCCTCCTCATGCGATTCGCGACACAAACAATCTAGGAACCCGATGCGAAGCATATCAAGACAAATCTCAATGCTATGCATACCTAGACCGCCTTCAGATGGATGAAAGCAACAGATCTCCCGTGAAACCCTAGCGGCTTTGCCTCTCCACAAGAAAGAGAACAAGAGAGTCGGTCAAGGAGAATCGGGTAGATATGTGAAACATATACCTCCACCTTCCCCTTCAAGGAAAGATTCCCCCGAGACTACAAATTAATTGCGATCTCTGTCTTCCCTTGTAACTCCGACCAATTCATTCCCAACTGGAGATCAGGATCGAACCAGACGCCGAGTATCTTGACCGGCCCATCTGTCCAGTGGAAAGGACCGGGAAGAGAAACTTCCTTTCACGCACCCAACCGCAAGCCAACA